CTCCAGAGCAGTCACAGAATGATCCAGGGCGCAGTCCGAAATGACTCCCAGAATCAGTCAGAATGGACTCCCGAGCAAGTCAGGAATGACTCCCGAGCAGTCAGAAATAATGACTCCCAGGGAGCAGTCTGGGATGACTCCCAGAGCAGTCAGAATGACTCCCAGAGCAGGTCAGTATGACTCAAGTGCAGTCCAGTATGGGACTCCCAGAAGCAAGTCCAGAAATGACTCCCGGGCAGTCAGTATGAATCCCACAGAGACAGTTCAGAATGACTCCCAGAGCAGAAATCTCCAACACAGAGGAGACCACATGCGTATGGACCATAGGGATGCGAGAGAGAGACATCATGGTATTGGAACCTAGGGATAAGTGATCAGTGACCACATTGGTATTGGTCATAGGGAGTGTGACCATAATGGTTTTGGGCATAGGGTGAGTGACACATGTTAGATTGGTCCATAGGGAAGAGAGAACCAATGGTATTTGGTCCTTTGGAGGACCACAGGTATTGGACCATAGGGAGTACAGTTACCACATGGGCTGTTTTGTATGATACGCTTTTTTGTTTTGGAATACCTACACGTAAGGTCGGGTTGTCTGGGGGGGCGTTTGATTTGTGAGGGGGTGAGATGGTGGGGGGGGGGGGGGGGGGGGGGGGGGGGGGGGGGGGGGGGGGGGGGGGGGGGGGGGGGGGGGGGGGTGGGTTATGGGGGGGGGGGGGGGGGGGGGGGGGGGGGGGGGGGGGGGGGGGGGGGGGGGGGGGGGGGGGGTGGGGGGGGGGTGGGGGGTGGGGGAGGGTGGGGGGGGGGGGGGGAGTGGGGGGGGGGGGGGGGGGGTGGGGGGGGGGGGGGGGGGGGGGTGGGGGGGGGGGGGGGTGGGGGGGGGGGGGGGGGGGGGGGGGGGGGGGGGGGGGGGGGGGGGGGGGGGGGGGGGGGGGGGGGGGGGGGGGGGGGGGGGGGGGGGGGGGGGGGGGGGGGGGGGGGGGGGGGGGGGGGGGGGGGGGGGGGGGGGGGGGGGGGGGGGGGGGGGGGGGGGGGGGGGGGGGGGGGGGGGGGGGGGGGGGGGGGGGGGGGGGGGGGGGGGGGGGGGGGGGGGGGGGGGGGGGGGGGGGGGGGGGGGGGGGGGGGGGGGGGGGGGGGGGGGGGGGGGGGGGGGGGGGGGGGGGGGGGGGGGGGGGGGGGGGGGGGGGGGGGGGGGGGGGGGGGGGGGGGGGGGGGGGGGGGGGGGGGGGGGGGGGGGGGGGGGGGGGGGGTGGGGGGGGGGGGGGGGGGGGGGGGGGGGGTGGGGGGGGGGGGGGGGGGGGGGGGGGGGGGGGGGGGGGGGGGGGGGGGGGGGGGGGGGGGGGGGGGGGGGGGGGGGGGGGGGGGGGGGGGGGGGGGGGGGGGGGGGGGGGGGGGGGGGGGGGGGGGGGGGGGGGGGGGGGGGGGGGGGGGGGGGGGGGGGGGGGGGGGGGGGGGGGGGGGGGGGGTTTGAGACTACATTTATAATTTTTTATCATTATATTTTTCATCATTTAAATTTGTGGTACTTAGTAATTTATACGCAATTATGAGACCTCTAAAGTTTTGTATTTCACTTTATTATTGATACGCAATTATATTCTAAATTTTTAAGTGAGAATAATGGTTATTAGTAAACTTTATATAGAGTAGCTATATCGTTTCTAACTAGTATGTTGTATCAATTTTGATTGTCTCTCTAGAAGTGTTTATCAAGTAATTTTTTTACATGATTGTTTAGATAACAATATATTTATACACATTATACATATCACATATAAATTATTTCAATCTTTTTAATATATTTACATGGTATTCTCGTTGATTACAAGTAATTTAATCCATGAATATATATATTCACAATTAAGTATACAAAATTATTTTATAAGCGCAATATACAATACAAATACACAATAAATATACACAAATAAATATACAAACACGCAATAAATTATATACACAATACAATAAAATAAATTATATCACAATAAAAAATATACACAAAATAAATATAACATAAATATACACAATAAATATATACAATAAATATATACACAATATAAATATATACACAATAAATATATAAATATACACACAATAAAATATATACACAATAACAATAAAATAAATATACACACAATAAATATATACACAATAAAAATATACACAATAAATATATACACAATAAATATACACAATACACACAAATAAAATATATACACAATAAATATATACACAATAAATATATACGCAATAAATATACACACAATAAATATATACGCAATAAATATATACACATTATCTTTAACATCTACAACAGTTTGACACAGACTCCGCCTTCAGGGACGCAACATTATTATTACTATTATGTAAAATTACAGTGATTAGGAGTGTGACATCACCACAGTGTGACATCACCACAGTGTGAAAATAATTACTTAGAAAAACATAACAATGATAAAGAAAAAGTCAAAACGTCAGGAGGGAGGTTTCCAAAACTAAAAGCAGTCATTCAGAACGAGACCATGTGGTCTCTCCCTATGGTCCAATACCATGTGGTCTCTCCCTATGGACCAATACCATGTGGTCTCTCCCTATGGTCCAATACCATGTGGTCACTCCCTATGGCCCAATACCATGAGGTCTCTCCCTATGGACCAATACCATGTGGTCTCTCCCTATGGTCCAATACCATGAGGTCTCTCCCTATGGTCCAATACCATGTGGTCTCTCTGTGTTGGAGATTTGCTGCTCTGGGAGTCATTCTGACTGCTCTGGGAGTCATTCTGACTGCCCTGGGAGTCATTCTGACTGCTCTGGGAGTCATTCTGACTGCTCTGGGAGTCATACTGACTGCTCTGGGAGTCATTCTGACTGCTCTGGGAGTCATTCTGACTGCTCTGGGAGTCATTCTGACTGCTCTGGGAGTCATTCTGACTGCTCTGGGAGTCATTCTGACTGCTCTGGGAGTCATTCTGACTGCCCTGGGAGTCATTCTGACTGCTCTGGGAGTCATTCTGACTGCTCTGGGAGTCATTCTGACTGCTCTGGGAGTCATTCTGACTGCTCTGGGAGTCATTCTGACTGCTCTGTGCTCTCGTGTCTCGTCTGTTTCATAAATAATTGTAAATAAATTGTGTCTGTGAGTCTGGAGGAGTGCCACGTGGGTCTGCACTCTGCCCCTGGATCCAGGCTGTAGAGCCAGGACTGAATTATTTTGGCCAAAATGACCCAGACCGTAATGAGACCCAGACCTGGCAGGACTAACCCAGACTGTAGACCCAGACCTGGCAGGACTAACCCAGACTGTAGACCCAGACCTGGCAGGACTAACCCAGACTGTAGACCCAGACCTGGCAGGACTAACCCAGACCGTAGACCCAGACCTGGCAGGACTAACCCAGACTGTAGACCCAGACCTGGCAGGACTAACCCAGACTGTAGACCCAGACCTGGCAGGACTAACCCAGACTGTAGACCCAGACCTGGCAGGACTCTAACCCAGACCGTAGACCCAGACCTGGCAGGACTAACCCAGACTGTAGACCCAGACCTGGCAGGACTAACCCAGACTGTAGACCCAGACCTGGCAGGACTAACCCAGACTGTAGACCCAGACCTGGCAGGACTAACCCAGACTGTAGACCCAGACCTGGCAGGACTAACCCAGACTGTAGACCCAGACCTGGCAGGACTAACCCAGACCATAGACCCAGACCCAGACCTGGCAGGACTAACCCAGACCATAGACCCAGACCTGGCAGGACTAACCCAGACTGTAGACCCAGGACCCAAACCTGGCAGGACTAACCCAGACTGTAGACCCAGACCTGGCAGGACTAACCCAGACTGTAGACCCAGACCTGGCAGGACTAACCCAGACCATAGACCCAGACCCAGACCTGGCAGGACTAACCCAGACTGTAGACCCAGACCTGGCAGGACTAACCCAGACTGTAGACCCAGACCTGGCAGGACTAACCCAGACTGTAGACCCAGACCTGGCAGGACTAACCCAGACTGTAGACCCAGACCTGGCAGGACTAACCCAGACCATAGACCCAGACCTGGCAGGACTAACCCAGACTGTAGACCCAGACCTGGCAGGACTAACCCAGACTGTAGACCCAGACCTGGCAGGACTAACCCAGACTGTAGACCCAGACCGGTCCAGGCCTGTCCCGCGGCGCAGGCGTGGTGTTTGTGACATTGTGCACATTTATTTGTCTCTCAGCACGAAGGCAGTGATGGGTCCAAAAGGAACAGAGTAAATCCCGTTGGTGTCGATCAGAAACAGAAGGATGTGGGTTCGAGTCTCTGCAGGCGACAGACGGACTCAGGGTCAAATGCCGGGCTCTGATTGGTCCATTCTGCATCACTGAATGTATTAAAGCTGGAGGTTGTAAATGTAGAGACTTCTCTCTGTGTCTATTAATTTATAAACGATAATTATCACAAAGAAACTGTCTCAGTTTGAAACCAATGGTGTTGCCATGGTGACCCCACATTAGCATTAGCACGGCTGTCAGGAAGAGAACGAAGAGCCGTATGTTTCCTCCACACTGTGACCTGCTTCATCCAGGACTATGTGGATTTAGCCAGGACCATGTGGACTCAGCCAGGACCATGTGGACTCAGCCAGGACCATGTGGACTCACGGTGTTGGTGGAAAACTGCTCTCTCTCACTCTGTCTCTCTCCCTCTCTGCTCTCTCTGCTCTCTTTCTCTCTCTCCCTCGCTGGTCTCTCTCTTCTCTCTCTGGTCTCCCCCTGCTCTCTCGCTCTGCTCTCTCTCCCCCTGCTCTCTCTCTCTTCTCTCTCTCTCTCCTCTCTCTGCTCTCCCTCTGCTCTCTCCCCCTGCTCTGTCTCTCTCTCTCTCCCCCTGCTCTCTCTCTCTTCTCTCTCTCTCTCTGGTCTCTCTCTCTCTTCTCTCTCTCTCTCCTCTCTCTGCTCTCCCCCTGCTCTGTCTCTCTCTCTCTCCCCCTGCTCTCTCTCTCTGCTCTCTCTCTCCCCCCGCTCTCTCCCCCTGCTCTCTCTCTCTGCTCTCTGCTCTCTCTCTCTCTCTCTCTCTCTCTCTCTGCTCTCTGGCCCCTCCCCTCCCGCTGGACCATAAAAACAAACCCATTTCCTCCGTGGTGTTGTAAATGTTAAATGGCCGTGACCCGCCGCTCCCTCAGCACCATTACTCCTTGGCCACCTGCTGCCTGCCATGTAAATGCTCATCTGGGAGTGTTAGGCCCGTGGGCACAATGGAAATGAGTGACTCTAAATCAGCCCTGGGGACGGATCTTGGGGGCCCCTGCAGAGAGGCCCCCGCTCGCCTCATGAAATGTAAATGTGGAGATGAAACGGACACTTTGCATTCCGCATGTTGCCGGCTCTGAGGAGCTAACATGCTAACGCTAACGACATGTGTTAGCGGTTAGCAGCAGGTGGGAATGGAAATGAGACACGTTTACGGCAAAAACTGACAAAGTATGAGGTCATTTTAGTTTGAATTGATTGGTTTTGATCTTTCTGTCTATGTTTTGATTTATTTGTTGATGAGAAAGTACGACATTCCATGAAACAAAAGACCAGGAGTCGGAAAAATAAATCTGCGACAAATTCTTTCACACCAAATTTACAAATTAGCAACCAAACCATTACCAAAAATAAATAAAAATAATCATACGTCTGTTAGTCCAATCTCTGGTCTCTGTGATGTCAGACCAGAATGAGACCAGAGGAAAAGCAGTGAGAGACCAGAGAGAGCAAAGAAAGGCCAGAGAGAGAGACCTGAGAGAGAGAGAGACCAGAGAGAGAGAGACCAGAGAGAGAGACTTGAGAGACCAGACTCTCTGGTCTCTCTCTGGTCTCTCTCTGCGGCTCATGTTTTAGTGTCTGTTGCGGATGGAATCAAAGCTGGCCAAGGTTCAGACGACTCTGGTTTCGCTCTGAGGAAGTGGAGCCGATGGTACGATAAGCACAGTCCAGGACCAGAAAGTCTTGGCTGGAAAAGTCTCAGTGAGTCTCAGCTGGTAAAGTCTCGGCTGGAAAAGTCTCAGTGAGTCTCAGCTGGTAAAGTCTCGGCTGGTAAAGTCTCGGTAAGTCTCAGCTGGTTAAGTCTTGGCTGGTAAAGTCTCGGCTGGAAAAGTCTCGGTAAGTCTCAGCTGGTTAAGTCTCGGCTGGTAAAGTCTCGGCTGGAAAAGTCTCAGCTGGTAAAGTCTCAGCTGGTAAAGTCTCAGCTGGTGAAGTCTCAGTGAGTCTCAGCTGGTAAAATCTTGTCTGGTAAAGTCTTGGCTGGTAAAGTCTTGGTAAGTCTCAGCTGGTAAAGTCTCAGCTGGTAAAGTCTCGGCTGGTAAAGTCTCGGCTGGAATAGTCTCAGCTGGTAAAGTCTCGGCTGGAAAAGTCTCAGCTGGTAAAGTCTCGGCTGGTAAAGTCTCGGAGCGACACCCGTTTGTGTCGTGGAAACACAGACAGAGCCAGATCTTAAAGGGGAAGTGTCAT